GCTCAGCATCCTATTTTATATAATACATCTTTAAAAGATTATAAAAATCAAATAAAAAATTAAGCTGCATGGTTCGCGGTGTCAATGGAAACATGGAAACAGGAACAGACGGTACATTTGAATGCGGGGACATTTTTTTTTTTATTGCTTAGTGTGTGTGTGTGTGTGTGTGTGTGTGTATATGTGTGTGTGTGTGTGTGTGTGTGTATATATATATATATGCATGCAAGTGTATTATTATTATTGTTATATCCTACTCCCACCCATATTCGCAGTAGCGTCCGGAAAAATTTAGCACGTTCAAAGTCTAGTGTGACCGCCCCTTAATGCATTGATCCACGATAAGCATTTTCCAAGTTAAGTCCGTGTAGTGTAAATGCAGATATCGGATACGGGTCACTTTTAAAACCAAGTGTAAGGGGGGTCATCATAACCAGATATAGTTAAAAAAACAATCGGATTTGGGCATCTGGACTGCAGTGTAAATGCAGCCTATTAGAGCTTCATTCAGTTCTGTGTGACTGAAGACTTGAAATCAGCACACTCACAAACCCATGACTGCACACTTGTTTATTAATGAAGAGAAGAGAGGTCGGGATGCCTCAGCTGCTTACCTTCATTTGTAGGCCTGTTACACACTGATGAAGAATGATCTGTAATGAACCGGGTTGCTCCTGAAGGCATAACGGGGCTGTACTGTCCCCCATTCAGAGAGCATCAGGGGCGCTGGAAACCATTTGAGTTTACACCAAAGATTCATGATGAGATGAGCTGAAACGTGTAATTACTTGTAAAAGAATATGGTTTGAACTAGGGCTGCATAATTAATCAAATTTCTAATCGTGATTACGGATACAATTACAGATACCACGATTACGTAATCGTTCAAAGTCCAGTTATGTTATTCTGAGTGCTTGTTTTAGTTTTCTACACGTTATATTAAGGGTTTTTCCATTGTTTTAGTTTTCATATAACATTATGCATGTTTTTACTTTATTTTTTTTATTTTTTATTATTTAAAGAAGCAATCCAATGAATAATTGACATTTGAGGCTTAATATTATAGAAACGCAATAAGTTTTTCAGTGTGAGTTTTCAGCTTGTTTATTTTCATATAAAAATATGGAATGCAGTTGCTTCAGACAATGGTATAAACATCAGTCAATGCAAATTGTGATAATCATAATTAATAATTGCAATTACAGTTTCATGGGAATAATCGGCAACTATGATTTTTGTCATAATCGTGCAGCCCTAGTTTGAATACTCTAGCACCGCGTTACACTGGACTCAAAGCGAACTTTCCAAATCCACTTGTCCTGTTGCTGGTCTTGGAAGTCTTCAGCGGCTCTGGTGGGAAGTCGCACAAACGTGTGGAGTATGTCAGAAACGGGGAATCTGTTTACTGTATGCTACTCTACGCGTGTGTCCAGTGTAGACGATCACTGCGGATAATGGGTTGATTAATAATAATCATAATAAAATTATCAAAACAGAATGGCAATCAACATTAATATTCGGGAAGACGTTTAGCCCAGTTATTTTGGGTGGGGTCAGTAAGGGACCTGGGTAATAGATTATAGACCGCTGTCATGAATCCACTGCACCACCAGATTAGGATTCCGACACATTCTCGTGGATTAGTAGGAAATCTGTTTCACTGAGTAAACATTAACAAGTCTGGATTTAATATCGGAAGTCTCCCTGTACGGTCTTCCAATTTACAAACATTTCAAAGGTTTTTGTTTTGTTTTTTATCCGCCATGAATCTTTAGTCATACTTGGTCATGTTCACCTTCTCTGTATTTTGAGTAAACATCCCTTAATCACTTTATTTCTGATAATACTAAATGATTCCATCTCTTTAATTTTGGCTGCTAATCGTCTATTGATGACGTTTAATAGATGAGAAATTCTTAGACATGTAATTGCATTAAGTCCTCCGCACAATCTGACCTGTGCTGCAGCCTGGAATTAAACCACTCTGTGCTGGTTTAATCTGGCCAGAGGAGAACTGGACCCCAACTGAGCCTGGTTTCTCCCAAGGTTTTTTCTCCATTTCTGTCAGCGATGGAGTTTTGGTTTCTTTGGCTTGCTTAGTTGGGGACACTTGACTGATTGCACCGACACTATTGGACGAGAGCTGAACTGGATGATGACATCACTGTATCATCAATGAACTGACTTTAGCTGGAAAATGACTTATTGTCTTACATTATTGACAAACAATTTTCCTGTTTGACTCTATACAATACTGGTTGTGTCAAAGCAGCTTTACAAAGCGCTGTAGAAATACAGGTGACTGAGCGAGTAATGAGTTGTTGTAATGTATGAACACAGTGCAGTGCTCTGAGCTGATGTGTGCATGTGATTTGTTGACAGGAGATCAAGGACACACGGCACAGACACGAGACGCGTCTGGTGGAGGTGGACTCGGGCCGTCAGATGGACTACGAGTTCAAACTGGCTGCGGCGCTGGCTGACATGAGACAGCAGCACGATGAGCAGGTCCAGCTCTACAAGGACGAGATGGAGCAGACCTACATGGCCAAAGTGAGCACACGCATTCACTGCAGCGTTGTGACACATTCACACGTCTCGGCGTTTCCTCCAGTGTTTGACTTCCTCTGAGAGCTGCTTCAGTTCCTCTTTGCATTTCTCTGAGACGTCTGTCTGTGTTTCAGCTGGAGAACGTGCGTCTGTCATCGGAGATGAACAGCTCTTCAGCGAGTATGGCCCGCGAGGACCTGCATGAGTCCATGCTGAGAGTGGAGAGTCTGTCTGCTCAGCTCACTAACCTGCAGAAAGAGGTGCGTTACTGTCCTTCAGCAGAGTACACTGCTGACTGGCTTCCTGCTTGACATCGAGGCTCATTCCTCACACTATCAGAGACGAAAGTCTAGTTCCTCCTCAGTGTTGTTTTGTTTTTCGCTTTGTTCACTCCTTATAGAGTGTTCATTCCTGAGCTGCTCTAAACCGTTTCATTTAATCCTGACTGTCTTCAGGAAGTGTAATATCCTGTTAGTGTATGATTTCTTATGTATGCTGTAAAACTGAACATGATTTTATTGATAATTCACTATTCCTCTAGACTCTAGGTTTGAATAAAATGGCAGATGTGTCGATGAAAGCAGCATCTGGTCTTAATCGCACACTGTCGTCACTCTGCAGCGATCTGACCATCACTGTCAGACTAATAGATGCTCATCTGCTCTGCTTATGAATATTTTGAATTTGTTTATTTTATTTTACATTTTTATTTGAATACGCCAATATGGATTTCACCTAGGGTGTCAAAATGGCTAGAAACGGCCCTGAATGAAGTTATATTAGTGTCAGAAAACGTATACTTTCCCTGTGTCTCTGGGACTGAATTTTGTTGACGAACATGAATATGTACGGTCTTTGACAAACCATTGCAGCATAGAAAAAAAAATCTATAACTTTTTTTTTTTAATCTGAAAATGAAAGTTTATGCAAGTAAAATAATTTTGTTTGAACCAAAACAAATATTACTATTAAATTCCTTTCATTCCAGTTGGTAGTTCTCTGATTATATTTTAATGAGAGGTTGCTGATTGGCTACAGTATGGTTTTAGTTGAAAAATATTACATTATGATAGTTTAATAAAGATTTTGAATGGATTATGAGGGTTAAACATTTTTTCCGCGCTCATGTTAACGGATTAAAACATTCACTGCACACGGTTGCGGTCCGGCAGTGTGTTCAGGAGCGGTGCGTCTGCATCAGTGCAGAGATCGTCTATTGCGGCGCTGAATTAAAGTAACAGCGCATCGTTTGCAGTAAATATGAACATTGATTGACACGAAAATTTAGCAATAACACCATAAATGCATATTAAAGTCTAATGTGTTTGTCAACACATGGCTTTTTGGCTAGGTTTAAAGTGAAAGAGCACTTTTAGATAAACAAAGCAATAATAGATGGCACTCGTGGAGGTAGGAAAACAAAGTTCTTTATGAGCATTTTCAGTGACAATGTTTGGATTTGAAATCAGACTAATGGATAAATGTTGTATTTGTGGTAAACAGCGGTGGATCAGTAGCGGACTCCTGTGTGAAAGCTGCTTCTCCTCTCACAAGAGACACCTAAGAGGGGAATTCCCCCCATTTTCAAAAATGGAATTCAGGCCTGGTGTAAATGTCTAAAAATCCTGATTGGGAGTATCACTATAAATAGTTATGAATGATAAAAAGAAGGCTTTAAAAGATCGGTATCGGCAGATACTGCTTTCTGCGATCGGTGATTGGCCTCAAAAATCCTGATCGGAGCACCCCTTATTACAATAGTTCACCCAAGTTTTCACGTATCCTCATGTCGTTCCAAACCTCTAAGACTGACTGACTTCTGTTGAACACGAAGAAGATATTTTAAAGAATGACGGAAACCAGAACAGTGTTGTCCGAAACTTTCATTTTTGAGTGGACTTTAGCTGGAAGTCGTTGAGCACAATTATAGTGATTTGATTACTTTGGTTTTCTGGTTTGTCTTCCCTCAGGCACGTGCGTGGCAGGATCAGATCCGTGAACTGGAGGCGGCTCTGAGCCGCGAGAAGGATCTGAGCCGCAGGTTACTGGCAGAGAAAGAGCGAGAGATCGCAGAGATCAGAGCCAAGATGCAGCAGCAGCTGGACGAGTACGAGCAACTGCTGGACGTCAAGCTAGCGCTGGACATGGAGATCAACGCTTACCGGAAGCTGCTGGAGGGAGAGGAGGAGAGGTGAGGCTGGCTCTGTGTGTCGTGTGCTGTGTGGCTGGGGACTGGCGGTTTAACGGCTGCTCTGTCTCTGTCAGGCTGAAGCTGTCTCCCAGCCCCTCAGCTCGTGTGACGGTGTCCCGGGCCTCCTCCAGCCGCAGCGTTCGCACCGTGCGAGGGAAGAGGAAGCGTGTGGATGTGGAGGAGTCCGAGGCCAGCAGCAGCATCAGCATCGCTCACTCCGCGTCTGCCACTGGAAGCGTCTGCATCGATGAGCTGGACGTGGACGGGAAATTCATCCGCTTGCACAACAGCTCTGAGCAGGTGCGTCTGTGTGTCACACGCACTCGCTCACAGTATTGAGGAGTGAACATGATCATGATCGTTGCTCAGGTAGTGATAGTCAGGTTAATCACTGTTATAAACCAGGGGTCTGCTCAGGTCATGTGCTCTACTAATGAGCTGATGAGCTGAATCAGGTGTGTTTGAGAGAGATGTGCAGTGCTGGGGGGCTTTGGAAACCCCTGATCTAAGCTTATGTATTATAGTTCTCCACAGCGAGGTAATAATGTCGCAGCTTCAATATTAGAGGCTGAGAATGAACTTCCTACAACAAGACTATATGTAAATTTTAGATCCAGGGCTCCTAGACCAAAAAAAGTAACTTAAGGAGTCATTGGCTCCTATAAGAAAAACAAATTATAACAAAAATCTTTTAAGTGCCACAGAATGAACACTGTTTCTTTATTTTTTTTATTTTTTAACACCTTAACACCAGTCATACTGTCATGTTTGTCTCATCTTTTCTTGTCGATATCAGCATTTTAATCCATCTTGTAGATGTCCTGGGAACTAAGGTTCACTTGAAGTGGGAACTAAACGTCTTTTTCCAACTTGAACTATATACAGTTGCAAAGAATTGATTATTACACAGAATCTGTGCAAATATCACAGACCGTAACTATATCAGCATCACTTGGTCATTGAGTGTAGTTTGGGCTCGTAATCAATGCATCCTATAAATTAGGGGTGTGCCCGAAGCCGAATACCTTTTTCGAAAAGGCACATATGTCTTCAAAACAAATGAATAATTCTGCTGAATAATATTCGGCTGAGGCCGACACAGTGACTCCTGGTGTTTACTGGATAACAGGTGAGCCAAGGAATCAGCGCAATGTTACACAAACCTATAAAGTCACTACGCAATAATGAGTGTGAAGTGAATGAGTGCAAACTCTATGAATGAAGTGAGAGCAAATCAAACAACCGCACTGCTGTTGCCTCTCCGTGCATCTCTCAGAAATCAGAGCTTGGCAAGAGTAATATCATCTAAAATACTTCATACGTTCTACTATTTGTGTATATTTAAATGTCAATGATTTAAACCTTGCACGGTATGATACACTAATGAATGGAGTAAGCACAGCGCGATCAAACTCAAACAGCCACATTGCCGTCTCTGCGTGTCACATACATTTTTCTACGCCTGCGATTTTTAACGCGATCTTGTGTAGCTTGTCAGTGAACTACGGCTCTGTGTAGTAAATGTCGCTCCATCTGAAAGCACGTGCTGGAGATTTACTACTAATCACAGGAGCGGCTTTACTGATGAGATGCGCATGAAAATTGTTGCATTCTTATGTAGACAAGTTAAGTAACTTATTATTCACAATATGGAAAGAGGAAATAAAATGCAGTTCGTTAAGAGCATGACTCAAAATAAAAGAGGACTTGAAAAAGCCATTAATGGCATGTTTGAGTTATTTTTATCCATTCTGCATCTCCCACATATGTGTGTTTTAGCAAGGCGGTCTGTGTTGCAAGTTGGTGAATGAAGATACTTGCCAGGTTACGCGTCACTACTCTGCTTTATTAATTTATCCAGTGTAAAACCCGGACACCGCCACACAAATATGGCTTTGTGTTAAATCCTGTAGTAGAACAGTCATTAACACAGAGTAACAGCTCACTACCAGTTACAAAAGACACTAACTGTCTGTCACAGGCAATTGTAGTTGCATTTTTCATCAATTTATTTCTTAAATTTATCCTTTGACTATATATGTAGTATATATGTTCTGGCCCGCCATCTAGTGGCAAATTGTTTTTGTTTTTGTTTTGGCCCGATGCCAAACTTACTTGCCGACCCCTGCTGTAAAGGGTGTTTTGTAGTGATGACGCAGGTTATCGTGTGACTCTTTTACCGGGAGTTTTGAAGGAAGACCAACATTCATGATGAAAAAATGTGCAAACTGGTATGAAGCAGAGATCAGGGAGCTCCTCACTATCCGCGCTGAAGCTGAGATCATTCGCCAGCTTTAGTGAAACGGTACGCATCACATCCTAATGTCACGTGTCTTTAGGGGTCTTTACAGGATGTGTGTGAACGCACACTCAGATTCCGTAAAATCACTGGCAGTGTGAATGAACCACAATCAAATGATCCCGGGACAGATCACAGAACACATTATCCGTGTATTTTCCGGAATCTTTGGTTTAGATATTTTATAGCCCTTTTCACACAATGTAAGACCATTTCAGGATGGGAGAGTAAAAGACTATGATCAAGAAGGATGAGGATAGAAAGAGAGCCAGAATCAGAGGCTATCAACAAATCTTTTGTGATCTTGACCAAGGCCATTCTGTGCTGAGATTCAAGAAACCGGATTGAAGGGGTTGAAATAGATTAATCTGTATAATCATCTTATTGTTCTGTAATGGAGGAAGATGTGAAATGGGATGAATTTTGTTGAAATTGTCCAAATCAGCATTTATCTTTTTGGGCACTGGAGTTAGTGCAGCCGTGTTCAGTGCTGCTGGGAAAACACCCTGATTATACTGAGGACAGCCAGACACAGCGAGCCAAAACACTTAAATCAGCTTGCAGTGAGAGCATCAATTACGCCAGTGGTGGCGTTCATGCGTGATTCCTCGAGGTCAAGCTGAGAATTGGCAAGAGAAGTACCAGAGAAACTGGAGAGACCGTGATGAACCGAGGAAACCGATGTATCGAGGATTGAAGAAGAGTGTTACACAACTGCTGTGTAAGGTGTTGTCACCATTAAAGGGTCATGAAACCCCCGGTTTCAGCACTGGTTGTTTCTCATCAGTTTTTAAAAAACGCTAAAAAAGTGGGTGTGGTGCGCATCGGAGCGGAGGCGGGGGAAGAGGAGCGACAGACCGCACACACAGCTTAGGTTTCAGACAGTTTAATTTCGCTCCCATCGAGTTAAAAACACAAATAAATGCACAGCCATTTGCACTCTGCATCGAAAACAGATGAACTATAGCCCGACCGATATATCGTTTTGCCGATATTATTGGCCGATATGAGCCTGTCGCCGATATATCGATATTGGCGAATATGCCGCCGATATGACAATTTATTATTTTTTTTTTTACAGAACATATAATGCAGATAAAATGCTTGAAATGGTGTAATTACTTAGTTTGTCCAGCAGAGTGCGCTCCATTGTTTGCTACTGGCGAGCTGGATGAAACGCTTTAAAGCTTAAGTCTATGGAAAACCATTGGAACTTTGAACGGCCATATCTCCGTAACGGTGCGGCGAATCCGCACCAAATTCGGGGGATCCCTTCAGCTCGAGGAACCCTCTCGAACGCGAATCGAGTGTACGTCTCAAGGCCCTCTTTCGAATGACCTCTTTCGGGTGGTTAAATTCGCGGTCCGGCGCCGACCGATCTAGCGATCCCGGGGGGCTACCGACGTGCGGAGGGTGGCGTTCGAGAGAGCTCCTCGAGCTGAAGGGATTCCCCTGAATTTGGTGGAGATCCGCCGGCGCGTTTGCGAGATAGTGACACCAGCCAAACACTTTCCCTTCAGTAAGGACTTGTTCAGGCAGCAGCATTCAAGCGTTGTCTTATTCGACCGTAAGTGCCCTGCGAAGTGGACTTCACATGA